CTCACCGCGGGGGTGCTTCGGCCGGGGGGGGTTGGGGTGCCGCCCCGGCGGTGCTGGTGATGCCGGAGAAATAAAGCCTGAAACTGCGATAATAAAGCGCTGCCCGGGCTGTCCCGGTACTGCCCGGCAGGGACGTGGGGCCGGGCCCTCCGCAGATTCCAAGCACTCCCCGAAACTGCACGTGGGGCCCTGGGGGTGCAGGGCTGTGGGGTGGCTACATCCTCTCCGCACCTTAGCGTTGCACATGGGGACTGCAAAGGGGGTAGGAAAGCAGACAGGGTGAGCTGGTTTGGGAGCTGAAAATGGAGAGCAGGTCTTGTGTTCCTGGGGCTTGAAAACGGGCTCATGTGGCTGATTTTGGGGCTCAGAAACAGATGGAGTTGTGCGTTTTCAGGACCTGACAGAGGGGACTAGGTCGTGTGGCTTTGGGCTCAGGAGCAGAGGGCAAGTGCTGCATTTTTGGGACTTGACAACACGCTCAGCATCTGGGTTTTGGGGCTCGGAAATGGGTACTAAGTGGTTTGGGGGCCAAAAGCAGAAGCCAGTTTGGCTGTTTGTGCAGGGGGGTGGACAGGCATTGAGGGCAAGCAGGGGGTGGGCAGGGTGCATGGACCCTCCTCGGAGGTGGGGGTCTGGTCACGTGGGACCCCAAAATTTGTGAAGCCGGCATGCACAAGGCTGATCTCAATGGCTGAGGTGGTCTCTGGGGGAAGGGTGCTTTTCAGACCCCGCACGCCCTCTTCGAGTCCAGCTCTTCTTTGTATGCTGCTTAGAATAGTTATTAAGTAATTAATCATACAAACTAATCAATATTTATGCGGTGTACAGCTGTGACATTTGATAGTAATACTCAAGTTATGACAGCGATTGATTTATGACCTTGTCAAAAGCCCAGACTGTTGCAAGTAGCTGGAGCTTGTAAGGAGAAAGGGCTGAAATCAACTGGAGCTTCAATTAGCCAGCGCTGTAGCAAGCAGGAGCTGGAACGAGATGGGGTGTCCACTGTCTGGAGCACGCATTAGCCAGAAGCAAAATTGCCTGCAGCTGTAATGAGCAGGAGCTGCAATTAGCTGGAGTGTCTATTCACTGGGGCATCCGTCGGCCAGACTGCACTCCCAGCATGGCTGAAGAGCGGCCGGACACAGGCAGGGCTGTCCCCAGCAAGCAGCTCCGAGCAGCAGGGAGGCGAGTTGTCCTTCTGCCAGCGGGGAGCCCGTCCTCTTCCCTCGGGGATTAAATCCACGCTATGTGTCCCTCTCTGGGCGGAGGGTCTCTCCCGGTCCCATTCCCGAGGGCAGAGGTGAGGTGGGGGTCCCCCGGCTCCCCTGGGGCAGCCCCGCGGGCGAGGTGGGGCAGCATGAGGTGGCGGTGTCTCCTTGGTACCTGGCAAAGGGGAGAGAAACTGGCCGGTCGGAGCTCCTGGGGTGTGCGGCCTGGCCCTGCACGGCCCCTCCGGCAGAATCCTCCCCTGTGTTTTCACCGTTGGCTGGGTGTGACAAACAGGTTCATTTTTTGCCTCCTCTTTTCCCAGTGTCACCTTCTGCGACACACGAAGAAAATCCTGCGTGGTCGATTCCACTTGCTGCTCAGGTAATCGCACATATTGGGCTGGGGGAGTGGGAAGAAACATTTGCAAGTTCCAGGACACTACAGATACTCCACATCAAGCCCAGAGAAAGGGCAAATTTGCTGCCAGTGCGGAAAAGCTGATGAAAAATTGCAGTTAACAGAGCATGCCTCGCTCCTGAATTGGTCTCTTGGTAGTTACAACTGTTTTCCTTTCAGGTAAAAGAACGAACTTTCATCTGTGATAAATTAAGAGCAGCCTGTTACCTTTCTTTAAGGTCAAGTGTTTCTCTTTTGTTTGTTCATCCTATTTTTATGGGCAAGTTGGAAATAGCTTTTTATTTTTATATGCAGAACTAAATTTTTAGTAATACGTGGTGTCAATGTAGTTAATTTTTGAGTATCTAGATGCCAGTAAAAGGCAATGAATCAAACATGATGGAAATTGATGCTTAAACTTGATCTTTGTTCATTTGTTTGGTTTGGTTGGTTGGGTTTTTTTTTGGTGAGAGCATTGATGGCTTGTTGTCCTGTGGCTCAATCCACGTTCTGTTCTGTGGAGCCTTCAATCTAGGACTTTTACGTACAAAAGTTTGTCCTTCCAAAAAAGGACTAGTCATTCACAGGATTGAGGTGTAGACTTGGAGAGCCTCTGAAGTACATGATCAGAATTAAAGCCAAATTTCACTTAATGTTGCTGCTGTTTGTCTTCGCTTTCATTAATTTCCCCACTGCTCCATCATGGTTGGGAGCTCTGAATCATAATTATTTTCAGTCTAACACATTTTTTTCCCCAAGGAGACGCTACATTTAAAAGTTAATTAGTTTCCTCACAAATGTGTCGGTCAAAAAAAATGAGTTATGATTATCAAAACCACAAAAATGACACCAGTCTTACAGATCTGGACTATTTCTGAACACGTATTCATCACATGCAAATGTCATCGGGATACAGACCACCTGCACTTCATGCTCTGACAAGACAATATGCTGAGACAGGGATGAGCTCCGAAAGGAGAGAAAAAAAAAAAGATAAGATACAAGGTCATGGGGTTTTTGTTGAGTTTTTTTGGGGGGGTGGTTTTAAAAAAAGAGCGCAATGTTGACTGGCGGCAGCCTGCAGAGCTCTCTTTCCCTGACCTCTCTCCTTTTCTTTGTCGCTCCTCTTTCATGGCTATAATTGTCATTTGGATAATTTTAGAAGAGCGGTTAAGTTACTTGCCTATGTAAATGTGCTGGTAATACCAGGAAGGTAAATGCTTGAACCAGGAGTGAATAACTTGGCTACAGGTTGAATTTCTGCGGGAAGAACAACAATAGCAGGAAGCAAATAGCAAGTTACCAAAAAATGTGTGTGTGTCAAACACATCAAAGTTTTATTGCCAAATGTTGTTTGGCAATATGTTCCAAATGGCTGTTTTTTGGTAAACATAAATTTTCAGGAAATTCAGGGTTGTGTGTGGCAAAACATGTCCCTCTGTGTGTCCTGCTACACAAATAGCATCAGTCAATAATAGCATGTCCAGTGGCAGGGCTGTTGTTCCCTACTCTCAATATTGCCACAGCAGTGCTGCGATATTTAGACCTAACAGATGGGTTTAGGAGTGGAAGGAGAATGCTTGTTTTCTGTAAGGCCTATGAATGCTGACCCTTTTCTCTGTCTGCTGCTTTCCTGTGCATGTGATGAAGCTATTTTATTTTTCTCCCTTGTCCCTGGTCTAAATATTTCTGAAGCTGTTGCTGCTGTGGGTTTTCAATTTGTGTTACTATGCTTTTGTGGAGTTCTAGTTATTGATCGCTTCTACTGCAGCGAATTGTCAAGATACGGTTTTCAGTTTAAAGCTTCAGAAACTACATTCACTGAAATCAGTGTAGGTGAAACTGATCTTGTGCGTGCAGCTGCGCTCACAGGGGTGCTCAGTGGCTCCTCATCACAACAGCAAGGTCTGGTGTGTGGACATCCGCAGGGTTGTGCTCTGGGTCTGAGAGCGTGCCATATTTTTGCCGTTGGAAGATGGAATAGAGCGTGTGCCTGGTAAATCTAAGGACAGTCAAAAGCTGGGAGGGACCCTAAGCAGGTTTGGTGGTGCAACTGCAGTTTTAAAACATCTTGACCGTTTGGAGAAACGGCCTGGAAAAAATCATTCCTCTTCTGCGAGGAGGCAGTTCACAAGGACAGATGTGTTGCTGTACTCTTTAACAAAAATATTCAATTTGGGCCGTATAGGGTGAGGAAATCTTGGCTATATGTAGGCTTGAGAAAATGTATGTAGGTATCAGTGTCTGTCATCTGCGTGTATCTATGAAAGTTGTTCTAGTGGAAACTAAAGCTGCCAAGGAGTCAAAAAAAGGCACGGTTGTCTAAAAAATGCAAAAGCTCTAGTGGCCTGTATCAACAACTGTGCCAAAGATGATGCAAAATACTTTCTCTTCCACTCAGCTGTAGTCTTCACAAACCTTCACAAACAAAGGAAGCTTTAGATTCCTATCTAGCTTTATGCTAAAGTTTTTTTTCTTCTCTGGGAAGAATGTCACCTGCCACTGTGGTCGCCCTTTCTTCTGCCATAAAAGTACAAGACAGATGGAAAGGATCCATAGTGGTCTGCAAGTACAAGGTACGTCTACGATGCATGTCTGCATTTTTCCTAAGGTGCTTGTAGTATGGACTTTAAAGTTAACATAAAGAATGTGCCAACTCTCCTTCTGTAGTTCTTCTATGAAATATTTTAACACAAATACTAAAAATAAAACATAAACATTCTGGAGCATGTTACACCTATGCAAAGCTTACTTCCCTCCATTTATTTTCTCTTCCTGAAAGCATAATCTTCTGTTTCTGTGCGCTTACTATTAAATGATTCAGTGAAACTGATTTTGTACTAAAAGAGGAAATAAACTGTTCATAAGAGTTCAGATGCTCAGAAGAAACAGACTTTGTTTTCATGATAAAAGCTTTATGCTTTTTCAGTCAATAAGTTTTTAAAATATCTTACAGTAGTACTCAAACCTTGCTGAGATACTAGCATCTGTACCAAAAGCAATCAAGGTCAAAGAAGAGACATGGATGAAACGGGACAAATAGGTGTCGCTTCCGCGTGTTTTCCAGGCTTTCCCAAGAAGCGTTAGCAGCCTTGTAACTAGCGATGGCTAGTCCTGATGCATTTTTGGTGAGTTATTGCTTCAATAATGTCCTTTTTCCTTAACCTACAGTGTGTAATTTTTGACTTTACTTGGAATGAGATTTTCCAGAACGGAAATCTTTCTCATTCAAAGAAGTTGCATTTTATGAACTTCCCATCAGAGCGGCTCTTCAGAGATGATCTACTTGGCAGTAGAAGTCATCAGCAACAAGGCTTTTCACTCTCTTTTTAAAAAAAAAAAAAAAAAAAAAAAAAAAAAAAAAAAAAAAAAAAAAAAAAAAAAAAAAAAAAAAAAAAAAAAAAAAAAAAAAAAAAAAAAAAAAAAAAAAAAAAAAAAGTCAATTTCTTTCCAAAGACCCAGGCACATCACATCTTCCAAAAGTTGATGGCATCAGTGGTCTTTGGTTCTCAGTTGTAACAGTTGAGATATCATAAAAATGTGTGCTTCTGCATGCTTCAGAACAGCCAAAAGCATTAGCAAACCTGCCAGTCCTTTTTGGTAGCGTGATGTGTTGCAGCACTGGGGATTTGATTTCCCGCCATTCCCCCAAAGGTAAAACTGTATAGGAGATCTCTTATCTCACTGATTTTTCTATCATAAATGCAACTTTTAAAAAAAAGTTAAAATTGTATAATTTACAAACTGACTTGCATCGTTTAAACTGTAACTGCCAAATAGCTGTAGCATACAATGTATTAGGTGTATTTAAGCGGTTGGGTATTTGTTCTAAATATTTAAAAAGAGAGGCAACTGAACGTTACATTTTTTTTTTCCTCCCCAATATTTTGACGGAATGCTCTGAAGTACTTTATTTCTGCCTCACTTTCAATGGTGCGTTTCCCTGGCAGTTTAGTAGCATCTCTCTTGGACAGTGCAGCTGGCCAGATGTCCCTCCTAATCATGTAACACACCCACCCACCCCCCCCCCCCCAATCACAACAGTATTTTGGAGATAGATAATTTAATGGTATGAACTCACAGCTATGCAAGTTAAATTAATGCAAAAGAAAAATCAGATACTTTTATAGAATAAGTATTTTCATTGGATGTATGTAAACATACGCACACCTTTTTAGCGTGAAGTGAATTACTGAGATTTGTTCTTTATTTTTCATTTTCCTCTTTAAAGTTTTACATTTCACTTTCAGCTTTATTGACCAAGAAAGCAAGATGTGCAGCAGCAGTGCAAGGGCTGTAGCTTGTGGTGGATCTGTAAGCGTAAATTCTGATTACAGTACAACCTTGTCCCGCAGCCTCGCAGGGTTATCTCCCTGTAGCACTGCTGTAAGGAGGGGATGAGACACTCCAACACCAGTGAGAGTGTTTACTTTTAGGCTAAGAATGTGTTCCAAATGGTATCAGTCTTAATACTGATTTAAGTGTTCAAATCCCTCCAGCTTTTAAAGGATGTGTTGTATTTCAAGCTGACCTGTTTACCTAGAATCTTCCTTTAGTTCAACTACTATCCTGTCCCTTATTCTGACTGAATTCCTCTACTTTCTTCTGTGCTATTTTTTAATATTTGAGATTTTTGTTTTTCAGGTGTCATCTGGTAAGCGTCTCGTGGTGCTCAATAGATACCCCCCAGCCCAGGTTTGCCTGCCGGTTGTGAAGCGAACTGACGGTAAGGGGCCAGCCCTGTGTCTGGAGGCTCCTGGCTCTGTCTCCAGTGGGTGCCCTGCAGGTGTGGCGGCGAGAGCTGTCTGGTGGGGAGAGTCTGGAGCCCGCAGGGACTGGGGACGTTTGTGGCCCGTCCCAGCCGGGGAATGGAGTGGGAGCATTGCGGAGCAGTGCCTGGGCAAGAGACTTGGCACCATCATCTGGCACACTGCCCCTCCGTGGGGCAGCCGCCAGCCTGCGGGACAGGGGCTGGGTGGGCTGCCCCCCTTTATGTTTCTAGCAGAGCTCCCCTTCTTTTGGGGGGGCATGTACATATGTAAGTGGCATTATTAAATTAACGAGCTGCCAGTGGGGGGCTGTTTCCCTGGGTTTGTGCCTTTTTTTGGGGTGAATAAAAAGGGGGAGGGGCTGGGGGTGATGATGTCATTTGGGGCACCCCAAGGTCACTGGGGGCTGATGATGCAGCAGAAGAGCAGGTCACGGGGGGGTCCCCCCCAAAAAGGGGGGTCATAGCCCAAAAATGCCTGAAAATTGCAACTAACCTTGTGTTAACCGATGCCTAAAACACAGGGCTGCTGCTCGGGGGCCAGCTGGGCATCGGTCGCTTGGTGGTGAGCAGTTGTTTTCATTTGTATCGCTTGTCTGTCTTGGGTTTTATTTTTCTCTTTGTTATTTTTGTTTTCTTCTTTTCCTTACAAGTGGTTGTTGGTTGTTGAACTGTTTTTATCTCAACCCATGAGTTTCCTCACTTTTGCCCTTCTGATTCTCCCCCCATCCCACTGGGGCGGGGGAGTGAGTGAGCAGTTGTGTGGTGGTTAGTTGCTGGCTGGGGTTAAACCACAACACAAGGTTAGTTGCAAGCCCTGCTTGGCTAATGCTTTAGGCTCTCCATGTTATCCCTACCATCTTGATCGGCCATCCTTGTTCTTCATTGCTTCTTTATAGTGCCTTTTGCTCCATAAGCAGCAGTACTCATGCCATGCAAACGTACCTGTCTCCCAATATCTGGGAAGTAACTCTGCCAAAGAAAAAGAGCAAAACAGCCACGGCACAATCTAGAGCCATTCTGCCTCTCGAGGGACCCAGCATGCCCCTTTCTCTTGCCTCTTACTCTGTCTAGCTAGGCTGGAAAGTACAGTTGTTGCAGAAAGTGCTACACCCTGTGACTCCTTCTCACATTGTTAGCTTCACCCTGTGTATAGGCTGCCGAGGTCATCGACCCTGCGCGGGACGCAGGCAGCCTGGAGAGCTTTACACCAAGTCATTCCTTTCCCCTTTGGGCAGCAGCGGTTCTGCCACTACTACAGGTGGCTACTTTCTCAAGGGCAAGGGGCCGGAATGACAACAGGCTGCCGCACACTCCAGTTGAACTAAGACACTGTTCTCTGGGGACCTGGTGCGGGGAAAGCTGAGGTACTTTCTGCACCGCCAATGGCTCTTCACAAGGGAACCGCGCTCTGGTTTTAGCAGAAAAAGGTGTCAGTCACTGGCAGCCACGTATCACTGCGCACAGCTATTTGGCAGGTGTCTTGCTTGTTCAAGTAGAGGCGTATTTCTTGCCTTGCAGTCTTGATGCCAAAACAATCAGGGGTTCAAGTTACAAAAGCCTTTTGACATCAAAGCAAGAGGACAGCTAGATTTCTACCAGGACTGTACTTGAGCTGTGTTGCTAGCTGAGAATGGCTTGCAGGCCAGGAGATATTTAGAGGGGTCCGAAATAAAGAAACCGAGTGCTGAAGTGATTGTTTTAAGGAGGCAAATTAGGCAGCCAAAGGAACTGAGCTGCTCACCTGACACATTGGCAGAACAGCCCATCCAGCCTACCAAGTATTGTGTGTTGCAGGCAGCAAAGTGCAACTGTGATGCTTGCTGGTAGGAGTGGCAAGGAGTGCAGAGCTACGTTCCCGTACAGAGCAAAGATGGAACCTCCAAGGCTCTGTGGTCACCTGCTGAGGACATCTAATATACCAACATGCCTCTTTGCTTTCCCTGCTTCATTGTCTAATTACTTTGCACGCTGGAGGGCAGGGTGGTAAGTAACATCCTGCAGTGTCTCTTATCTGAGTGACAAGCCGTGCACAGGAAGCCTTGTGTGTATGCAGGGTTAGGAGAGCAGAGCACCGAGAGCGCAGAGGTGAGGAAAGGTGCAAACAACACAACAAAGCCCAAGGATCACCAGCATATCGCTCACTTGCAGATCAGCCACCTGCATCTGATCTGCTGGGATGTGCTGCTTCCTGCTAAAGAGAGCTGCCCCTCTCACACAAAGCAGCTTTCAGGCCTCTTTTCTCCTGCCTTCAGGATGTTATCTGCGTTCCCTTATTTTTTTTTAAATCTCTCCCTGGCATCTGTTGACTCACTGCCATCACTCCCACAATGCTGATGCCACATGCGGACCCATACAGCAATCCCTGGGGCTTACTCCGGGGGATAAAAAACCCGGTTCTGCAGGTTCTCTGTGCTGCATAACGGGGTGGGGGGCACGGACAGAAACAACCGCCAGACTCTTAAAGCAGCCAAATGCAAAGCACTGACATGCCCGAGCCACTTGGCTGCTTTTTGGTACAGAGGCAACGAATATTACTGCCTTGGCCGAGAGTGGGAAAAGGGCAGAGGAATTTTAGCCCTGTACCCCCAGTAAGTCGTTACCATCTTCGAATGGTGCAAACTGAGCTGAGGCGTCAGTCGTTCCTCACCCGGCTAACGCCCGGCCACCGAAAGCCGGTACTGCAGCTCGGGAAAAGCGCATGCGCGGTAGCGCCCCCGTGCTCCACGCTGCCGTCCGCCGGTAACGGCGATGCGACGC